AGTAGTAGTAGTAGTAGTAGAGGCGGGACTACTACAACTTCAGCACTTTGCAACTCTTGAGCTTCCTCTATTTCATCTGCACTGGGCTATAAATCAGGGCAAATCACATGATCACATGTACACATCACTGCGGGTTCACCTTAGAGCTCTACCACCAGCGTTCGCAGAACCTTGCTGGGGGATTTGCGAGGTTTGTCTGTAGAATTCTTTGGGGTGTTGGTAGCACCCGTTCGCCGAACCTTGCTTGGGTGTTCGGTGAACTCACTGGGGTTCGGCTACCTTCGGCTAACCTTTATTGGGTTCGACAACCTTCGGCTTGCCCTAGAAAGCGCAAGAATGGAGAGCACGCACTTGTCCTCAGTCAGCATCTGAGGAAGAGGGTTGTCAAAGCCACTTTACGGCGATGAGGAGTATGACGAGGGAGAGGAAGAGGAGGAAGTCGAGTGAGCGTGCTCAGAGGTTGGCGTTTTTTCATGTTCAATCTACAATTTGCATTGCTAGACAGATGCAGACGCCTGCCCGCAGATTCGGCAAGTCTCCCTACCCCATGCCAGACAGAATGGAAGCCTTGCAAAGTCCAGGCCAACCTTTACGAGCACTCTCGAAACGCCTGCAGAACTTGGTAAATATTCCGCAGAGGATGCTGCCTCCGTTGTAAGATGATGAATTCGCGAGTGGCAGGTCCAATATATGTGATCGCAAAGCGACCATGCAAAAAACATTGCACGAGATTCACGCCTTGACATGTGAAGGTTTTCACTTCTTTAACCATTTGTTCAAATCCTCATTGCTTATCATGGCTTAGCCTTGTGGCTAGAGCAAACCCTGGCAGCATTGCGTACAACGACTTTGCAGGATTTGTTCACACCGGGAAGGGTGGTATTCTTGGGTTCACCGGCTGGAATCTACACTTCCTTAGTCAGAGGATTCCTAGCTGTGATGGACATGACCGTACTTTTGTCAAGCTGAAGGTGTCGGCTCTTTTTGTTGGCTTCTACCCTGCAAGACATTGGCTACATGAGGGGATATTGCATAGAGAGAGCTAGAGTATGGGTGGCCCATACGTGCAGATTAAGGAAAGTCTTCTAGACTGTTCCAGAGAGATGTGAAGGGTTTGTAGCTTGCGGGTTCAGTGCTTAGTATAGTGATGTGTTGAAGCACGGTGTTAACTAGCTACAGCTCATGTGGCGGTTTCAAATGGAAGTGTATAGTTCTTCTGATGTGAAAGCTTCCACCCACAAAGGGCAAGCATCAGTGGGAGCAAGAGCTGTTATCTCATGCAGATTGAAGGGCAGTGCTTCAGGTCTTTGTTTTTTTGGATGACTTAGACTTTCAGGCTTTGTGGAGAGCTTTCGTGGCTTGCTCTAAGGGAGGACTAGCAGCACCCTTTTCTGCGGGCCCGGTTTTGGACATACCGAAGTGTGCTTGGTATGTATTTTGAGTCATGAGGCCCTCTCTACAGAAACCGCAACTTCGGCAGTCAAGTTGTTGCCAAGGTGTCATGCTTTGTTGTGGTAGTGCAGCAACAACATCAGCATCCCACACTATGAGGCCTAATAGGTGGGATGAAAGAAGCACTTCTCCTGCCAGAGCACAGAATGTGCTGCCTTAGCAGAAGCCGGATCAAATCCTTAGCCAGCAAGGCTCAACCTATAGAAGCTTCGAACTCTGAAGCCATTCCCTTAGACATATTACAGTTTATTTGTGGGAATTACAAACTTTTTGCCCGCACCAACGGCTGATATGGCATGTCTAGGTAGTTCTCGCCTCAGCTTTTTAGCCCTCCGTAATGCCCGACAAACCCTTTCAACCTCAACAGCTTGCAGCCCCGCGCAGGTGATAACATTCCGGGCTGGGCTTGTTCCAAGCCTGACGCACGAGGCTTGTGCTTGGATATCGTTGGCTCTCGAAAATTTGTGGCGAATGTTAAACAACCTGGTGCCTTGGCATGAAGACATACTTAGAAAGACTAAAATCCACTGATGTGGCTCCCGACGCAACAGTGGTACTGCGGCGTGGGACTGTAAAGATGGGGGTAGGGATCTTTTTACGCTAAGTGTTTTGCTGGTTCAGACTTGAGGCAGTGTGCTTGCCATGGTTACAAATGGACTACCCTCTCCTAAACCAAATAGGCAGGAGCCAGGTTTTCGGATTTGCGCATACCATGGGCGGGGCTACATGTGGGGCAGTATCCGGGCAAATATTTGAGTGCCAGTGAACAGTGTGCGGGCCTCAGTCAGGGCTTGTGTAATCTCCACTGATGTGTCACAGGCTGCAAACTCGGAATTCCTCAGAACACGTGCCCGCCTGATTTGTGTGTGCATCAATGAATTACGCAAGCACAAAAAGAAGGAATTCAAATCTTTTGGTGCAGGACGGTGTTGAAAGTGGATAACGTATTTCTGATGGCCTGCAGAAATGTGTAGCCCTAGTCGGAAGCACAGCAACATACAGCTGTTTTCGCAAATCTGCAATGTACTATTTTGTTAGACTGAACGCTCAGGCCCCATTTCAAATTTCTATACGTGTCCCCCGCAGAATTCTGCATATTCCCCACAGGTATCGTGTTAGTGGTGTTAGTGGCTTTCCAGAATGACCTCCCGACCCTCGAATCCGTAACGCTACATAAAACCCACAAAAGGACGAGTGTAGACAGAAGCACCTAGAGCATCTGCTTGCTGTCGCAGGTCTTCCAGAAGATGCTTCAGAACTTGAGAGGGGTTGCAAAGGTAGAGGTCGAGTGAGCCAGAGGCATTTAGATAACCCCGTCAGGGCTTCTAAGAGTGCTTCATTACTGAACACGTGAACTCCTGGATCGTCGACTGTCCTCAAATTGTGTGGTACTTCAGGACAAGAGTTTCGAATTCCTTATTAGGAGCTGCAGCTTTGTTTCCTTCATCGACGATGTCACTACCAGATATCAGCATATTTTTTTAAACGGCTTGTGATTTCGCTCTTGAAGCCGCACAAGTGCGCGTCCGTTTGAGAACCTCGACTCTCCGTGCGGCTTAAGTCTAAGGTATCACCACAAACGTGCAGGCTTCTTTGTGTCAGGATGGGGTTATAACCATGCGATCAGGGGAACCCTTGTATTAGAGCATTTGAAGTGGATTCCTGTAATGCTGAGAGGCTCCATTTTAGTTGCACGTTCGGTCGAAGGGCTTGGGGTGTTAAAGTAACCGCACGCTCCAAATACTCACAAGTTGTTTGGTTGTGCTGTAACCACATGATCAGCGCAACGTTATTACGTGATGACACGCTGAATTGAAGATGGCCATCAGCATAGTTATTCATGGTACGAACAATCTTCATGTTTGCGATCTCAGCAGTGCCTGAAAGAGGGGGCGTCCCCATGCCCACTCCTGAAAGACGACATTTTGACAACCATCTTGACAACCTCTGCAACCCCAAAACCTTGGCATAATGCGGGCCTGGGGGACGACTGTGCCATTCTGGCTCCTCGCGTGCTGGGCAATGTAGGCTGCATGCCGTGCAGCTACGTGAATCATCTGACTTCTTAGGTAGATGTGCCGTGAAGCAGGTCTGGAATCCTCCTCTCAGAAGCCTACATCAATCTTCAGTGATTGTGGGTGTCTTTCCAGATAGCTCGAAACTAGAGCCAGGCCTATGAGCAAGAATTCCAGCCTTGTCCTAGGCAGTGCAGGGTAGGACGCCATAAATCGTATGGAGTCCAGGTGCTTGGGGAACATTGGGATATCCCAAGAGCAAGCTGCCAAGATGAGCAGGCCTGTTGGTGTTTATGAAGGCATTTTAAACCCTCACCCAAGGGATAATCCTGAATCTTGAACCGGCAGCCCTAAAATTCCTGAGCTACACGGTCATGCCCCCGGGATGGGGCAGTTGGCCTACTTGCGACTGGAAAAAGGTGCGGATCCAAGCATGGCTTTAGCAGAGAGGCCTGGAGGAGCACTCTACACCTTCCTCTACCAGCCGCAAACACACGGCATCACTTAGCCCCGCCCAGAAGAAAGTCGCGCAATCAGTTGGTAACACAAGCCCCTTGGGCATGCCATGCTGAAGAACAAAGCGGCTTGGGCTGCCGTGACAGTATAGCATAGCATAAAGAGGGGTCATCGCAATTTTGATAAGGATCGACTTGCCTTTGCTTCTGGCAGCACCCTGCTTCCTTCCGGACCGAATTGGCCTGAGTTTGGAGTTCTAGGGTAAGCTTATGTGAGAGCGCTTGCGATCTTGAAGCAGAACCTCATGTTCTTGCTGCGGCCGTGGGCTTCAAGTTCGCGCCGGCAGTGGCTATGAACCGTTCGACCATCATGGCATGGAATCAGCCTACAGCTACCAGCCCTCCTCCAAGCCAAGGTGATTGCCACCCAAAGCATCTTGCATGAACTTTATTTTTGGCATCTCTGTGGAGGCGTGCAGTGTTTGTAGTGCCTGGTGCTTCCAAAGTCATGGCAAAGTTGGCCCGCAGGGTGGCAGCCTGAGTCATGGCCTGGCTGTTCTTCCAGATTGTAGAGCTTTCTTGGAAGATCTGTACAAAAATTTAACAAGCAACGATCCCGGCACTTCGATTTGGCTCCATGTACGGAAGCTTGGTGTTATTTCTTCCCAGCCAAGAGTCTAAGTGTGTTGGCTTGGTCCAGTAGATTATGCTTGCAGGCTTGAACGTCGGAGGGTGAAAGCTGCACATCTACCACGGCCCAAGCATTTAGGAATCATCAGAAACTTTTTCAAAAGAAAGTTAGGTTGAAAGGGTCCAGTAAGGCCAAAGGGTTGTAGTTTGGTTGGTGGACAGCATAAAAGGAGACCGCAACCTTGCATGGCTAAGTAATGCTGATGTTCGCTTGTGTAATCCGTATTCGGATAGCTATAGCAATCCCAATGCAGTCAGCCCTCCTACATAGATCACCTTGGAATGGTCTGCAGAATCCTCACAACATTCCTATGATTCTTCCTGAACACGCCTGTTCTTAAAGGAGCCCCACGGCAATCCCAACCAGCCTAAGCTCGTTGCTACCCAGTCTCCATTGCTGGCGCTTTGCGCTCTCTTCGTCCGGAGCTTGCTTTCATGCTTCAGTCAGTTGTGGCTTGTTAGAGGTGAAGTTCTGTGCTTCGCAAGAGCAATGATTTTTGTTCGTGAGTCCTCCTTCAGAGGCCATTGAGAAGCCATCTTTTTCATAACTCACAAGGGCGCGATGTGTTTCTCATAGTCGTACCTTTTACAGCCCTGGTCCGCAGCAAGCACAGTCTTGACTTGGACGGCCTTGGGAGAGTACTAGCTGATGCAGGACCTGAGTTCTGCTCGGGGAATATCTGTTTTGAGAAGTCTGAGATCTTTGGGGGCAGCCTTGTACTACACTGGTGGCCCTTTCAATCGTCAAACATCTTGACAGCCCCAGGCCAAGGCAACAGCTCTGGATTCTGTGCCGGAACTGCCAAAATCTGTAAACTCAGAGACCTCAGCTCCATGTAAACTGCTTTTTCGGTGTCCGACGTAAACGTACGCGCCGTCAATTTCTGTCGGGAGTAAGTAGTCCAGCAGAGGCCTGGTTCCTTTTTCAAAAATTGTTTTGGGTGGTTTTCAAGAACACAACACTTTTCAAGCTCCAAATTATCACCGGGATGGTATGGCGTTGATCTCAAGTTGCTTGTAACTAGACTTCAGTTGGTTTTATCATTCGAATTAGATTTCAATTAGTTCGATTTGAGTTTCAGCTGATCTTGAATAGGGTGTAATTCTATTTCAAAGCGGTTTCATAATTTTTCAATAGGCTTCAATAGACTTACATTTGACTTCAATGGGTTTTACTTGAACTTTTATTGATATTTGCGTAGATTTCCCAATGCAGTTGATTTCTTAACTATTTTTAGATTAGTACTTGCACTTAATTAGATTTCATTTCGTTGTGAAAAGATTTCGAATGGTCCCATTGGGTTTAGATAGATTTGAATGCTGATGGTACTGCCAATGCTAACACAATACAAAAACAAATGCCAGCTTCAAGGCTACTACTGAGATTCATAATATGTTTGTCGATTTCAATTGCGCGGCAAATTTCGAGGGGGGGGCAGTATTAACGAGAATGAGGGCGGGCATACAAAAGAGGTTCCAACATTAATCTTTGTGTTGTGGGAGACACACTTCACGTCTATGCGACTCTTGTGTGAGATGCTACTCATGTGTCCTGACACATGGTCCCGGTGTAGACCATCAAGTTTAGGCAATCTCAGCACCTGAACTTACACGTGTAGTTTTCTAGGTAGGCACCAGAGACAGGAAGGAACAGGCAATAGGTATCAGTGTGACGGATCCTGTGATGGGCGACCTGAAGATTTAATTTAATTCCCCATATACCTCAAAGCGTCTTGGCGCATAGGAACAAACTCTGGGCATGGACCCATTTGGTTGAATGGACTAGTGTCTTGACCCCATCCTAAACTCTTCATGGAATGCTTTCAGCGGCTTCGTGCCTTCATGATTCTCGCTGCGCAGTGGTTGGGTTGAGCTCATGTTCTGCTACTCGACGCGGGCTGCTCCAGGGGTCAAGTCAAGAGGTAAGTAAAGGCTCTGGTCCTAGAGCTCTGGAATTAAAGTCCTTTAAGGCCTCAGGCTCTGGGCCTTCAGTTATAAGTCCCGTTGACAATTTTGGGCGGCTGGAAAAGCGCATTGTTATTCCGACCATCGAAACCAGATACCTAAACAGGATCCGGGCCTCTGTTGAATGTCCCCGTATATTTTCGTATACTCCCCAAGAGGCCATTTTATTTGAAGCTGGGGTCTCCTAGTTTCTGGATTCCGGCGTGCTTGATATCTGTCCTTATAGGCAAAGGCTCTGGTGCTAGAGCTCTGGAGTTTAAGTCCTTCAAGGCATCGAAAGCGAACCTAAGTTACTTATGTTAGGTAAGACTTTTTGCTGCGTTGTTTTGGTCTTATGGGCACCGAAAAAATTGTTATCTTGACCCCCTCAAACAATACTAGATTCTGAATGATTTCCCCGAAATGTTATTCATACCCCTCTGCAGAAGCAGGCCCAACATTATAGCAGATATGAGATACATACATACATACATGCACAAAATGAGGAGATGGCGTGTCCTGTTGGGCTGGTAGCGGTGCCGCAGACTTTGCACGGGGCTTCCATGAGGTCGTTGCGCGCCTCTCCCTGGATGCTGCAGCCTTTGTGGCGGGACCACCGGTGCCAAGGATGGACATTCAGCACGAAAGCTTTGCGTATACCTCTGCTTGGAGCTATAGCAGTTCCAGTGCAGCTATAATCCACCTCAAGCTTGTCAAGTGGAAAGAGTCCAGATGGTGAGAAACCTTTCTAGATACCTGTGCACACAAATCTGCAATGGCAGGTCAGGGCCCAGTGCTCGAGTGGCGCGTAGGGACCTCGGCCTTCTCTTGTGGTAGTTAGGGTTGTCTGGGCGCACGGATTATGAAAGAAAAGATTTCAAGGGTCTCTGCCCCTGTCAGCTGGCAGGCGGTTCCGGCATGAAGAACAATGCCGCAAGACTTCGCCACGGTAACCCCACTGAGGCTGGGCGGAGGCAGATACGCAAGTGGCCGAAGTGGAAGCGAAGGAGGCCCAGTAAAATTAGCTCAAGGTGTTCCATGTTTATTCAGGGTCACTTAGGAAATCCGGCTGTCGTGCGAGGTTTTCTTGAATTCACGGGGGTTGAAGAAGCTACCTACAAGATTGGTGCGTTCAGAGTTTGTGGCAGGGCTGTAGCGCCAGCATGTAAAGGTGCCCCGCATAGAATTCGAAGGGCTCAGCTTAGTATGCTTTAGCGATTCTTTGCTAGCATGAAACCATTAAACAGGCTTTGGTATTATTCGAGCTCAAACATCCCTCAGAAATCCTTGTGTCGTAGCATTAAATTTTGCAAAACTGGCAAATTATCTTCATCCATTCAAGATTCTAGACTTTGAATTGTCCAAGTCGCATAACGCATGAAGCTGTTCAACTAATTCTGCACGTGAACACGTCTGGACCTCGTGTATCCCTGTCCTAGCCCATGGGAGCGGAGGAGGCCGCCGTACCCACTGGCAGCAGTGGCCACGGCATTGCGAAGTCGGCAGTGTTCCATTCCACTGGTGCAGTCTGTCATCAAAAGGTTAAGACAAAGCTGAAATCCTTTGTCCACATTCTCTTGCCATCGCGGTAGGGGAGAGGGCAAGGATCGCGAATAGTTCTGACTCGGCTCTCTTTTCCCTGTCAAGATCATCTTCTTGGGTGAGCTAGAGGTCCAAGCAGAGCCTAGGGCCCGGCCCCCTCACCCAGATGCACCCCACAAAGTAAAATAGAAATGTGTCTCAGGAGGTTGCTTCGCTTTATGTTTACCCAGACAGAGATTACAGCTTCAGAAGTCTTTTCAGAGATAGCTTAGGTTCTATCTCAGCCCCTAGCTTAGCAGACGAAGAGCTGTAGCGTCAAGACATGGCTCGGATGTTGTCATTTCAGCCCCGACAGTCTGGCCCCAGCTGGTACTTCTGAGCATCCTGTTCGCAAGATGACTTGGCTTCAATCGCAACTGCCACAACCCCCAACATGAGCTTCTCTTGCTTCGTGGAAGGCAACTGCTCTGGCTTAGGCTGAATCCTGAATCCTGAACTTTCACCCACAAGCCCACGTAAACGATACGGATCTGAAGCCGAAAGCCTAATCGCGTAATTGTAATCTTTGTATCATGCCCAGCTGCTCTGTGCCGATGACATAAAACCATCCCTACACCTGTACCACACATCCCTCCGCGCGTCCAAGGGACTGTGTCCATCGCAGCGGGCTCGGATACCATAGATTGAAGTTCCGACCTTGTAGGGTGGAGGGCCGGGGGTCCAAGGACACGGGCGGGGGGTTGGTTTGTACTGTAGGCGTTCAGGGTCTGCGGCTCAGGGTCTCGGCTTGGATTTTGCTATGCGGCTTTGTCTTGGCTTGACAAATGAATAACCCCGAATTCGCAAGGTTGCAAGGTCGGGCTAGAGAAGTGACACGATGTTAGGTTAAGTGATGGCGCAGTGCATTCACAAGGTGCACTTCAGGGCATAGTTGAATCTGGAAAAGCAAAAAAGAAGGGGCAGCCGACTTGCGTCCTGAAAAGGCAGAACATACGGCAACATCTTGTTTACTGCCATGTACTCATGGAGCTGCAGTGCAGTTCTCACCATATTGACCAAGTCGACCTTTTTGTTGCCAGAGAAGGCGCGCGCGCGCGCTAAAGCGCTTCTGCAACTTTCTTCAGCTTGGATAGGCCCCCAGCTCCACCCTCGAACCGTCATGCAGTCATGCAAATCTTCATAATGATGTGTTTCTATCTGCCAGAAATTGTGCGAGTGAACAGCAAGGCTGGCCTCCCCTCTGAGATTTCGAAGCCTATTGCAGCTCTCAAACTTCTCTCTGACCCGAAAGCCCCCTCAGTGCTGACCCCTGGCAGCCCCTGGAAACCGGCTTGCAGCGTTGTTGAGGTCCAGGGCGCCAACCGAATGAAGATCCAATGGGAAACCGAGGCCTGACCGGGGTTGCAGGGTGCGGCGGCTGCGGAGAGGCGACTCCTCAAAGCCCCGAATTACTCAGCGTCCGGCGGGTCTTGCTATACCCTCGAAGTCAACTCCTTAGCCCCGCCTCCAGGAGACTTGCGCGACGCTTCGGGAGCGTAGGGAGCCAAGATGGGAGTGCAAGCTGCTTTTGTCCTGATCTTAAGCGAGTTTGGGATTCAACTTACTATTGTCTGGAGGGTCGGCCGCAGTTGACAATCCTTGTTTGAGAAGTCCGGACTCCGGCTTTCCTTCGCAGGGCTTAGGCAGAATGCCGGAAGCAAGCATTTGATAAGAGGGAAGTCTGGGTGAGCAGTTGTTCAAGTATCCCACTTCCATGTTGCAATGTGAAGGCTTTTTTCGATCAGTGGTGCTATGGATCACTGTGCGTACCATGTTCCGGAGTGGGTGTTGCGACACGGGGCTGCTTCTTCAGTGGCTGTGGGTTCGGCCTAGTTATGTGGTTGTTAAGGTCAAACGAGAGGGCAAAAATGCATCTCGCGATGCCTCAGCAGTCGGGTCGCCTTGTTGCTTTCACGTCATGCAAAAGGTTTCCCCACCGGGACCCTGACTCAACTTAACCCTAGACTCGACGAGATCCTCAAGAAGAGCTGTTCTCCAAACATCTGAGGGATCCCTGAAGAAGTCCTGTGATCCATTGCACAGGTAGCTTTAGTCCTCACAGACCCGTTGAGTTTTGACCCTTCCCCATGCAACCTGCGAGCTTGACCCGGAAGCCCCCCCTTGCGCCAGCTGCTTCTGGCTCGGCGCCGTTACTGTAGTCACTTCATCCATCCCCTACCATCCGCTTAGCGTAGCCATGGCCTCTCGGCAAGAATCAAGTGTCCAGCGTGCAGCGGTCTAGGGGCCTAGGCACCTATCTGCTCGGGAAGAGGGCTTCAGAGGTTGAAGTCTAAGGTTGGAGATGTAAAGTATCAAAGGATGCTTCCATGGACATCCAAGCACGTTGTTTTTTGGGGCCGGGCCAGAACTGCATCACAGTGAGGAGGTTCACCGTCGCGTCCCCCAAAAGACGACTCAGCTCGTTGAGAAAAATCTATCACACATGCATTGTGGTGTAGTAGAAAGTTTGGTCATGTTTGGGCTCTGCTTGGAGAGACGCATTGGGCCCTAGGACGACATCAGAAGTTGCTTTGATGTGCCTTCCTGGGGCGCCCAGATTCTCGGAAAAGCTCAAACAATATAGCAAAGGCCGAAACTCAGATCTCCACCACGGCCGGCTGGTGCGCCTTCTATGGCGCCGGCATCATCGGAACACTGGTGCTCTATGGCATCCTGCAGGAACGAGACATACGGATTTCCGTTGCTTAAGTTTGTCAACTTGCCAGTGTATCAGGTTTTATGTTTTCTGACCTATGTCTAGCCCCGTTGCTTGTTGGTGAGGTCTCAGGGACCAAACTAGGGCATGTGGGGAAGCGGATCATAGACGACAAGCCTTTGTAATTTAGGCCGCAGGGTTTGGCATGCCATGTGCTGGGTCATGTGGCACTGTTTATGTGTGCAGCTTATAACGCACGTTCCCTAAGCCCCTATAAAAATTGGGCCAGCTGGATTTCAAGAACCACTTGACGGGAGGATTAGGGGCGAACAGTGCTGGAAACTATGCAGTGCATGTCGCCTTGGCCTGCAGCTGAGCCAGGAGGGCATCATGACCGTGGCCTACGACGGAAGCCTCTTTCAGTACTCTGTTTTCCTGGCTCCTGCCTCAGACGGAGCAGCTGAAGTCTGCAAGGGATTTCAGAACTCAGCCATCCTCAAAACGCTCTTCACCGACAAGCTCCGGAAGCCCCTGCCAGTAAATTCCAAAGGCCACTGTGCCATTGATATGCCAACCTCACATTCGGGGCCTCATGCGCTCATGAGTTTCGTATCAGTCCAGTGTACCAACGACGACCATTGCCACTAACACCGCTTCCGCCCGCCGCGAACATGACGACCGCCGAACCGCTTCCACCACCACCATCACGACCATCACGAGGACAGCCAGGACCGCGACGCAATGGCTACACAGGCTGCGCATGTGCTTTGTTCATGAGTTCTCTAGGGTGGCAAGCCAGTAAGGTCCTTTGCAATCGACTAGCAGCGGTGATCTTCGCCGTGAGCATGGCAGCCGCCAAGGTCAATGCCATTCCTGGGAGCATAACTGCGCGGCCGTAGTGTTATTTAAACATATGTACGGGTTGTTTTGTGATGTTTTGTGTATGATGCGAGATAAATTGATGTCGGACCCCCTTTCACCTTGCGGGCCCGCCCTTGTACTTGGGGCAGCCAAAAGTTCTTGCTAGGACACCGGAAACGAAACGCAAAAAAAAAGAGCCTTCTACCACTGGCCTGGAGCTCTGTCAGCGGACGCCGAGACGCATATATGCAACCCTCTTCAGGAGGTTCTTCATCTGAGAAAGTTGCACACTGTCTGTGCACCAAAATTAAGGGGTAAGTCAGGGCATAAGCATAAACATCCCAAGCATCACCTGGAGTGTTTGTTTACAGATTTTTTCTAACTCTAAGAGAGCACCACAGCTTGAGCCAAGCTCACATTCTAAGGTTGTTGCTTGACGCTCTTAGCGATTGGCCTGACCTTATTTCGTGGGAGAGACCTTTCATACCATTTATCCCCAAACGTGTTTCGGAGATGTTCTCCACATGTTGCCACATGCAACATTTGGCTGTTCTCTTTCTTGCAGCCCCACCCTGCCAGCAGCAGGGCGAGTCTATGACCAACGCAGCCCCGCTCTGGAAGTGTCTGGGCCTGTGGAATGAAGGACCTCTACGTTCTTCATCGGAGACATGTTTGAACGGGATGTGGAACTACCTTGAGCTCATGGGTCAAGCGAATGAGTTGATAGTATTTAGTCTCGGGACTGCAGTCCAAAGATAGGCTGGTAACGTCCCCCATCATCTTGTCTTCTATGGTCATCTCAGCTGTAGGTATCTTATCGTCTCCCTCTCCAACGTCTACGCCAGCTCGTGCTCCACGGCTTCAATCATGGAGGATGTTTACGCTTGGACGTAAGGGAGGAGGGCAGCTAAAAGGCTTGGCGTCAGTGGACTTGTGGGCATGTAGCAGTAGGGTCCGTTGAAAGTGCCTTAATGAGGTCTCTCCTCTTTGAGCCTGCGCTCAGCTGGACTTATTTCAGTCCTAAACCCCAGCCTTTGCTGGAGCTTGTTTTTTCTCTCGCCTACAGCTTGGCATTCTGAAGTCCTCATGAAGACGGTTGTTCTGACGTTCAGCTGCTGTTCGTTGGAAACATAACAGGCCGTGCAATCCTCTCCCCGGAAGAACCCTGCGAAGTGAGGGAAGCCTTCCAGGTCAATACGAGGCTCTGAAATACGTTTCCTTTGCAGTTCAGATGCTGGGGAAGAGCTTCAAGATGCACGGCTGCACATAATGGCCAGAGATGCCCCTTCTATTTTTCAGCAAGGTCTTATGTAGCTAAGAAGTTTGTTGATCGGTTCTTTGATATAACTTTGTGCCTGCTGACCAATTCAAGCAGATACTTGTCAGCAGACCGGCATGGCAGGTGCGGCATGTTGTGCTTTCTGGAAAAAAGCGCAGCGATGACATTTTCAAATTCCTTTCCAACGATCACCATTTAGCCCCTTGAAGCCCTGTACTTGCTCACAATCCTCTTGCAATCCAATTTCATGCCTCCCAACATCCTAGACCTGAGGATGATGCCCGTGATGATCTGGGGCATCATTATCGCTGGCAAAGCCTACAGTGGCAGAGACTGGCTGGTGATCCTCCTGCATGGCTTAAAATAGATTTTATATGCGTTTACAGGTGGTCTTCGTGTTTGGGCTGTCCTCAAACTGGATTAGAGATCAGGGATTGGGGTCAAAGGTTAATAGCTCGTTTTATTCAGCAGATTGTTTTGGCGTTATTGCATGCCTGAAGGTGCAGAACCTTGAACAGATCAGAAGTGCGTCAAGTTAGCTCAAGACACACAACGCCTGAAGGTGGCGCTTGCCGTCACCCTTGGCTGCACCGAATTTCTCATGACTGGGCCAACCAACTCCAAGGCCAAAAGCAGCAGCTGGCGACGTGGGGTTTGGAGTGCTGGGTTTGCTCCATAGTAGGGCCATAGGGTATGCAGGCCAAGGTCTCAGGACTAGCCAGTTTGATTTGGGCGTGACAAAGCGTGCCCGCGTAACGACTGGGTTGATGGGCGTAGGAATCTTTTGTATGGGGCCACTTTGAGACATCTTGGCCGTTGCTTCCTTGATATTGGAGGTTGTCAACATGGCAAGTTCCTTTTGCATGCCCAGGGTGGATTCTGGGGTTCCTAATGTTGTCGAAGCTATAGCCCAAAACTGAAAGCTGATTAGGACAATCTTCAGAATCAGGAGTGCGATCACCGGCAGCAACTTAGCCCCAGCCCTTGCAGTTCATTTGCTCAAAATTCTGATCATAATCCCTCTGCTGCTTGCCTCCATTACTATCACTTCTCAAGCCGACCAGGTGGATACCGGAAACAGCTTCAAGGGCTTCTTGCTTTTGGGCTGCTTCTTGGCCTTGGACGGGCTCACATCCACCTTCCAAGAGAAGCTCTTCAAGGACGGAAGAACTTTGGAGCTTTCTACTTTCCAACGGGGTATACGCATTCCACAAACAACGCAGTGCCAAAGCAGCAGCTTCATGAGATGTGTGTATACATGTATAATGACTTTGGCGATCTCATTCTGTGGCAGGGCTGTCTTGTAGGAAAAGTATTCTTCGATGATACTTGCAGCTTGCTTTTTGACCCGAACCCGAGTATTACGCCCAAGGCATTTACGCCGGAACCCTGCTTCGGCTAGACGCCAGACTAAAAGCGTCGGATGCAAGTCGTCTGCTTGTTGGCATGAGTCCTGAAATGCCATACCTTATTCACGCCTGAATCTCCAGAGCACTTGTGGGCACAAGCGTTTTTCTTCAGGGAATTTGGATAGAATTGAGGTCGTTCAAATACAAATCGACCCACGTCGGATTCAGCAGGCTGATTCCAAACAGGCAGAAACTTGTACCTGAATGGATGACCCAGGTAGTACTCACGACTGAGTCATGCCTGAAGAAGCTTCGCTGAGTTCGCAAGATCACGCAAAACGCTTTATAGAC